CCTATTTTCAGCTGGTTTATTTTAGCCTGACCCTGAGGTCAATTTTCAGACTAACTTTCATCATGCAGCCTAGGCTGGCCTCACACTCACCAAACTTCTGCCTCAGTTTGGACACTGACCTCAAAGTGGTAGAACAAATTCTCTGTCCACAACACTGAACATAAAAATCTGCTGGTAACTGAAAGGCTAACTGGATTAAATTATAAAATTCAGAAAAATCAAAAAGGACCAGTGAGATGGCTTGTGGGTAAAGGAGCTTGCTGCCAAGCTGACCACCTGAGCTGCATCCTGGGACCCAGCTGGTGGTAGGAAAGAACTGCCTCGTGTTCTTTGACCTGTTCATGTATGCACACTTGCATATACATGCACATACCATAAATAATGTAATAAATATTTCTTAATGGTATTTCAAAATATGCTTTCAGAGTCTTGAAGAAGAGCTTGTAAACGAGTAGCCATACAGGACTTAAATAAAACAGTCACCAGGGAAACGCTCCAAAGTGAGAGAAGGTTTGCCAGATCGGCTCAAAAGCAGACTAACTAGGTGGGCTGACAGCTGAGCCCAATTCACTACTCTATACCTAGTGAACGAGGTGGGGTTTCAAGACCAGTGGAATCAAGTGGTCAGAGGATATCGAGGTTAGTCCAAGGTATGCATCAGATCTCTCCAGAGGGTGTTTCCTGATACAACATGATGATCATCTTCTTGGCCACTGGGTCCAAAATTTCATCTCAACATCAAATAAACTACTCACATCCTGCCCCTGGAATTAAAATTCAAAAGCACTGATGGGTTTACTTGAGATGTAAAGGAGGAACAAATGTAAGCACAAGAAGAAGACATGTTAATCTTTAAAAGCTGTTCCCTCATATCACATGGATGAAACAAAGAGCTAAATGAGGCTTCTAATCTGATGACAAACTTAAAGCTGATATCATGCTAGCTACATGAGTGTTTCCCTATGTAGGCACTTCTGTTAAGACATTGCATTACATGTAAAATTTCAACAGGTTTTAGAAAAAAGAAATAGATTTTAAATGTATAGGTAAGAAATGAGATTTAGTAATAACAAACTATACAGTGTGACTACAACCTTATCCTCACGTTAAATAGTAAAATATTCAAGATGTTACTTTTATATCAGACAAAAGTGAAAAATATGAAACCAAAGCACTGACACTTGACTTTAAAATGCAAAGATATTATCAATTAATGAACAAATGACACCTCTTACATTTTCAAATGACTCATGTTCACAATCACATACCTGTCTCACTAGACTCATGTTCAAGAACACATACCTACCTTACTAGACTCTTGAGTTTTATTGAAAATGAGATCCTTAGTTCCACTTCAGACTAGAATTGGAATCCATATGGCTGTCCATGAATTGAAAGTTTAAGCAATTAATTTGTGAAGAGGCAAATATATTATTGTTTCCTAATGAATGTTCCATATTCTACAATAATTGTGTCTGATTGGTAGTGTCTTAAGAAAGTATTCCATAAAGGAAATTTAAGCTTATAAACCAAACAGAATAAAAAAGAATTTGAGAAGGCAGTTTATCATCCCTGAAACATAACACTGAAACAAGTATGTATCATTAATGAAACATCTCACTTCCATACAAATTAAATTAGCTATCTTAATCATCTAGAGATACTGATGATTAGCCTCTAGGTAACATTGTGGGAGTTTTTCTCAAGAAATGTAACCAAGGTTCTAAACAAGGAATCTGTGTTTAACAAAACATATTTTTACTTCCTAGTTACAGAACTCTCATGAGATGTGTTTCACTATGTCTTCATGAACTTAGGGCATTAGTGTCAACTGCTGAAGGAAGGCCTTACCTAGTACAGTTCACACTGCCTCCTTCGGAATGAAAGAAGCATGTTGCATCCACTCTATAATAGCAAAACGGCTGCACACACCTTAGCTGCACTGCATATGGCTCACGGGAAAAAGGGGTTTTCTGTGCAAGCATGAAGACCTTGGTCCAAAGGCCTAGTAACCACATAAAGAGCTGACATTAAGTGTACCTTCAACCTCAGTGGTATGAGAAGCAGAAGACAGAGGATCACTGGGGCTTCCAGGCAGACAGTCTAGTTCTAGGTCCAGTCAAAGACCCTGCCTGAAAGGCATGATGCATGGAATGACAGAGCAGGACTCCCAACATTCCCTTCTGGCCCGAGTGCTGTACATGCATGTGTTCATACACCAATCATAGATACACACAAGGGAGATTTATAATAAAAATATCTACAAGCACTTACACATTAAGTAGCACAGACAAGTTTATAAATATAGCACAGCTCAAAGCAGGGTTGAATTCTACTACACTTAGAAATGACAGACTTAAAGTAAAAAGTGAATTGCATTTTGCCCTATAGTATCTACGTATTCCAAATAATTAGAGATCTAGAAAAAAATACATGATAAAATCCCATTAAAATTGGCATAGAAAGTTAATAGGAAGTTATTCCTTTTTCTTTTCTTTCCTTTTCTTCTCTTCTTTCCTTACGTCCTTTCTTTCCTTTTGTTCTTTTGGTTCTTTTTTAAAGATCAAGAATTTTATTTTATTAAGTGCCTGGAACTTTTTTCACCTTCTACCTGCTACAACTTGCAGTTATGTTGCTTTAACATCTCTCAGTGTTTTGGTAGGGACAGTTATGAAATTGGTGTAATGACTGAAGGATCTTTAATCTGAAGAGAACATATTATGGAAGAAAGGTTTTTGTTGTTCATATTTCTCATAGGTATAGAATTACTGAACTTTATTAGGAAAAATAGCATGTTTGATGCTGTAGGCAGATGACTGGAAATATGAAATACAAATAAAAGGCAAGTTAGTTCAGTGCTGGTTTAAAACCAAGATTTTTCAAATATCCTAAAGTAGTTTTTTGTTTGTTTTGTTTTTTGTTTTACAGATAGGTGGGTTTATACTGCCACCATGTGGTTAAAACACACACTAAGACCATTTTGAATCAGGCAAGTTAACAGTTTCAAAACAACAAAAGTTTAATTCCTTAATTACCAGTCTCAAAATTCATAGACGTAGCAAATAACGTCTGAGCTTCTCTTAGTAAGTCACTACCAAGCTGTTGTTGAGATCTCTATTTTTCAACTGCTGCCTTCACTTAGAGGTTTCCCTGGGCATCAGTTGCTAGAAGAGATTTTGTATTTGAACTTGTATTTATATAGAAGGCATTCTCTTTCAAGTCAATAACTTCCTTGATATTTTTTCAATTTCACTAATTTTTATTAGCTATTGGTGTTCACTTATATCACAGCCTTTCTGTATCTTTGCTAAGCTCGGCTTCCCAGTGACCTGCCTTTCGTTTCTAGGCTCCCAACTCCACCTCTTCCTCAGGGATGAAGACTGACTAAGGGTAAGAAGTCAAAACTACTAAAAAACCAACAATATTCTAAAACTTCATATTTTCTTCAAGTTCTGGGAGCGGTGCAGGGGAGATAAAAGAGACGTGAGGGGAGGGTCAGCAAAAACTAATGATATAAGAAAATACTATGAGGCATTCTGATATTTGATAAATAATCAAAAATTAAAAACAACAGAACAGCTTTGTGGATGGATAAAGCTGCATCCAGAAATCACTGGTTACTAGACAAAAATCCCAGAGCTACTTCTGAATGAGTGTCTGGCCACAGAATCCCAGAGCATGCTAGGCAATTGTCACTGCTGTTGCTGTCCATCAGAACGAGATGGTAAAAGACCTTATTGCTGATAATGGCACAAGACATAGGTCAGGCTGGGACTGGGCTAGACCCTTCCTTCCTGCTCAAAATCCCAAAGGTACAGTACTAAAAATATATACTAACATAATGACTTACTTCAGGGTAACAGAGCTTTGAAAGTCGTACCCTTGAAATACGACACATCCTATACATATTTGCACAAAACTTTGTAAGATAACCATTTACCATCAAATAGAAACATAGGGGATCCAATGAAAGAACAGGGCGAACTATTTTTCTTCATTTGAAAAGAAACGTTAAATGACTTGCTCAAGATCACAGAATAAACTAGAATGTTCAAATATGACACTTGGGTGTATTAGAATTTAAAGTCTCTGAGGGCAGTCACTGTCTCTCACTGTTGCTGCCATGCACACTGATGACATACAGGGCAAACACTCGTATCAGTACACATGCTGGAGAGAATTGCATTTGCTGAGGAGTGACGGACACGTTGACTGTAGCTTCCTTTCCATACCACAGACAAGGCTAACCACTAATGAACAACTGCTGTACTCTACTTGTAAACTATAAGCTTGTTTTCCTTCTGGTCTCATGAACTTTTTGGAGAAAACAGCAATCCTATTTTTTTGAAGTTGTTATAGAGTACAATGAATCAGTCCATCACTATTTTTCATTTTGCCAGTAAGTACATGGTGACACTCTGGGATATTTGGGCAGTGTTGTAATCCAACTAATGATCAGTGCAGCCTCTGTAAGTGAAGGGTTGTAAGCACACTAGCCTTATAATCCACCAGCCAGAATAAGATACTTCTAAAATAGCATGGCTGTTACTAATCCTTACATGCCAGCAATAGTGAGGACTGTCCTGCCAAAAGAGAATGCAGGAGTCTCTAAGAAAAAAAAAAGTCAAATACATTCTTTTTCTTCCTACTAATGGCATCCATATTTTATACATTAAAGCAAGGAAAATTATATAGTTCTGTGTGCATGTTTATTGCACAAGAACATCAGATATGGCTGGTTTTGTGGTCTCGAAAGCACTTGCTTATGAAAATGAGTACGACAACAAATGTATACTGTGGATTATGGGCTAAAGCATCTTTATTGTGCCAGTTTTGAAGAGAGATGTGCAACTAGCTCCTGCTTAGCCTCACTAAGAGCTGCAGCAGTCAGTATCCTAGCCCCTGTTCCTAGCACTTTCACGCCCCTTCCCACAAACGCTGACTAGGGCCTTGTGGGGAAGCCACAACATCTTCCCAAGAGTAATAGAAATCAAACAAACCTCTGTCAGCTGCTTCAGTTGGCTTTTGTTTGTGCTGAGTTCTTCAGACAGTTCATTCTTTTTCACTTGTAGTTCATAGATTTCTTTTCTTAATGGATTGACTAGCTCATAGAACCGAATCTTTAAAAAAAGAAAAGAAAAATAAGCAATCCGGAACCCAAACCACAATTGGGCTCTGCCAGTCTGCAGTGGGGCAGGCTGCCCTGGCTGCTCTCCCTCTGCCCTGTATTTACTCTCAGTCCATTGTGGTAAAGATATAAACCGGAAAATTCTGGGAATCCATCAAGAAATTTTATGAAGGCATATTGTTATAATTGTTTTTGTTAGCTCTGTTGCCAGTATCTCCTATAAAGCTCACCACAGATATACATATACAGGAAACACTCACCACAGATATACATATACAGGAAAGACAATAGGCCGCCAAGGAGTCATACTATCCTCTAGCAGACTTGGAGTACTTTCCTCACAGATACATCGTTAATAAATCAAATTGACTTTAAATAACAACATAACCTACAGTTAACTGAACTCCTTATTCTCCACCCTGCTTGTTTTCTCCAAAGCACTTAGGAGACATTTTACATACTACACTTTAATCTGTCGCTTTTTAGCTTCTACACAAAGCAAGCTCTATGAAGGCAGGAATTTTATCTGGTTATATACTGCTCTATCAACTGAAATATCAATTTGATGAAGAGATACACGTTATTCTTTGCTCTTATTTCAGGCTCCTGGCAACATTCTACAATGTTGCTTTCCCCGCAGTGTTAAGAGGTCTAGGGGATGAATCAAAAAGTACCTTCCCATATCACTATTTCCACTCTTCATTTTCCTGTCTTAACCCAAGTGCTGCAAAATACAGGTTCTAAGAACCTAAGAAACCATCAACAAGTCAGGAGCGAGCAATTAGGGATTACTTATTACAAAGGCATATAAACTAAAGTCCTTGACATAAGACTGTACTGCAAAAATACTCTAATAAGAAGTCAAGTGTTAGGTTGGTCCCTAAGGCAGTGAAATCTACATCAATCAGTTAGAATAATATTTCATGCAAAAGTGTGAAAGAATACTAAAACCGGGAAGGAAAAATGTATGTACTTTATTTGAACTATGAATGAAGCTCCAATGATGGCATTTAGAATATTTGTTTTAGACAGTATGTGTTAGTCAGAAAAACTATAACTGACCCATTTCAATCATCAAAAGCCAGGAAGAAAGCTAATGTCTGGTTTTCTTTCAAGTCACTGATCCAGAAACCTCAGTCCATTGAGACCCGAGAACAGCTCCCACTCTGGCGGACAGTAGGGAGAACTGACATCAGACACGCAGAGCACGGTGCTAGGCATTTGACGTGTTTTACATACCCACAGTTAGGATCTATTTTATAAATGGGGAAAAGAGAAGGCTCATAGGGTAAAATCCCACCTAACACAAAATGCAACAGCTGTTAGTGTTCTAGGGACTCCTGGCCCTTGCCCTGTTTTCACTTCTTTTAGGGAGTTCACAAAATAAGAAATATTCCTAGTTACAGTAGGGATTATTTTCTTCAATTCAATTCTTATTTTCCCATTCTCTATATGATGTATGATAATGACAATGTAATTTTTAAAGCAAATAGAGAATGCATCTAATTTTGTATTTTTATTTATGTTTTTAGATAAAGTCGTGCTTTATCTAAACCCTTAGTTTCAAGAGATGCTCCTGGTTCAGCCTTCTAAGTACTAGGACTTCAGACAAGCACCATTATAGCACATCGTACCCAACCCTTCTTGTACATAAATTGTTTCCTTAAGGTTTAATTTCAAATATTGCAAATATACCCATATCAAAAAAACACTTTAGGCCAGAAGGGGGTGCTGATACCACAGTGACTTGAGACTCATACCAAATATTAAGCCTAAGCCCAAGTTCATTTAGGAATATTAGATTCTGAACTAATTAATCTATCACCAAGAACTCTGCCCCACCTTTACCCCTTAACAATCACAAAAGGTCTACTCTCTCTGCATTATTTCTAGTTAATCCCAGACAGTACTAATGCATTTCATCCTCAGTTTCCCCTTAGAGAATATTAAAACCATGATAAAATAACTCATTTTATGGACTATGGAGTCACTGAGATTTTGGTCTTAGAGGTACTTTCCATTTTCATGGGGGTCAAAAAACACTACCAGTTGGGTGTTTCAAAAGTAATACCGTTGGGTATATAGGTCTGAACTTGGTTCTGGATGAGCTAGAGAAGGAGATTCAGTGAGATAAACAAGACAACCCCAAAGGAGAAACAGGTCGGGCGCCCATAAAGGAAATTAATGGATACTGAAAGGAGCAGGACAAAGATGGAGCATGGACTGGTAGGCAGTGAGCTGAGGGGCTGGGAAGACCACAGTCAAATGTCTCCCAGAAGCAGGAGGACTGGAGCTGGATACCCAGAAGCCATGTAACAGAGGCAGGTGTGGCGGCTCATGATTATTATGTGTGCTGAGGAGGCAGGGCGAGCAGATCCCTGGGGTTCACTAGTCTAATTAGTTGGCAAGTTCCAGGCCATTGAGACTCTGTCTCAACAATGAATGAGTAAATTAATAATAAGGCTAACCTGAGTAACACCCAAGGCTGTCCTCTGGCCTCCACATGCATGCACACCCATGTGCACATGAACCAGTCACATAGATAACACATACAAGGTGACTCGAGCAGGAGAGGGTGGGGGACCAAAAGGTCTTTCAACAGGTGCACCAAGTAAATGCTAACAGTTCTACCCTCAGGATAAGCCCAGAGTCCTCGAGAACTTCAAATCCAGTTAAAGGTTTCAGCGGGACACTCATCCCTACCACAGTGGGTCAGTGGAGGGAGAACTCACTGCTGTCTTTCCATAAGACTCAGTGGGTGGCAAGTAACAGTCACTTTGAGACAGGCCACTATTGCAACTTTAGGGGCCTAAGAACTCCAAACAATCATAAGTCACAGAGTCTCAGTTTGGTCTGCAACAACACAGGATGAGGAAAAGCCCCAGGGAACAGGCAGTGAAGATTGGGGTGACTAGAAGTTGACCAGACATGGTTCAGGATGAGAACTATACAGAGCAATACAGTCTTACACCCCCCACCTCCCAGTGACCAGGACCCAGCTCACTGTCTCAGCTAGGACCAGTCCTAGTGTTGGCAGCTCTGGGCCTGATGTTGACAGATGCATCAATCGACTGCTAAAGCCACCAATGTCCCACTCACTACTGCAGAGCCCGAGAGTTCTGAAGTTTTCGCAGTATGACTCATTCCCACAGCTGGATCCTGCCAGCAGGATCCAGCTCTGTAGGTTTGGCAAGTACAAAGCCAGGTTCTCACCTACACAGACCTGCTGGGGATGCTGCTCACATTACTAACACCCCTGGGCGAGATCTCCAACCACTAGACTGTGGGCCACACCAAAAGACTATAAAGTTAATTATACCAGCAAGGATCTTTGGCACACAAAGCGACCAAAGTAAAGAGACACCTGGTATGTGTCCGGTATAATGTCTCAAACAGCCTAAGCCACAGGAAAGCCTAGAGCCCACATGAGCAAATGTGTTTCCATGGCTATAACTGACAGTCTCCAACTTCTGAGGCCCAGCAAGAAGCTACTCTAACACTTCATTTTTCTTGTTCTTCTTTTCTCTTTCTTCTTTTGCTTTTAAACTTTTTTTTTTTTTTACTATTATTGATTTTTTTCCCCTTTTGGTGCACTTTTTAAATTTTTAATTTAATTTTTTTTTTTTTTTTTTTTTTTTTTTTTGGTTTTTCGAGACAGGGTTTCTCTGTAGCTTTGAAGCCTGTCCTGGAACTAGCTCTTGTAGACCAGGCTGGCCTCGAACTCACAGAGATCCGCCTCCCTCTGTCTCCCAAGTGCTGGGATTAAAGGCATGAGCCACCACCGCCTGGCAGCATTTTTTAATTTTACAGTACTAAAAATTTGTTTTATATTCCACAAATATGCATCTAACTTTGTTTACATATTTTTTTCATTAGGCCATAAACTTTCTTTTTCTTATTTCCCCCCATATCTCCCTTTATTTTTGTTCTACTCTGATTACACCTTGCTTAAAATTCTTGCATCTCTCTATTTCTACCCCTTCTTACACTTACCTTTGCTTTTAAACTTCCTCATAACTGAGAAATCTATTTTCTATTCTACCCTCTCACTCACTTCTCTTCCCCGGTAACAGTCTTCCACTGTCTCCTTTCTTTTATTTAGGCTTGCTTCTCCTTCATGCATCTCCTCCTGCCTCCTTTCTTTACCCAGCCAGACTCAGAAGACAAACACTACGCTTTCTCTTCTGTGTTGGACCTAATTTGAAATTAAACGTGTAATCTATGAAGCCAGGAAAGGGAACATGAGGAAACAGAGAGGGAGGCCACCTGTGACATGAAAGAGGAAAGCAGAAGAGGGGACTACTCGCTACAGGGAGGACAGGAGGCATAGGGGAGACTTGGAGAGAACACATAATGGCCACGTACATAATCAAAAAGGAACTCATTACTTTGTATGCTAATGTAAAATATAAAAATAAAAAAAATGTATAAAGAGTGCCTCTATATAATGCCAGTTTCAGTCTGAGAATGGATGGAACTTTGTGTATTTTTTTTGAGATGGGGACTCTAATAGTACAAGATGACTTCCAACCACTACATAGGTGTAGGAGCTGATCTCCACGTCCCCATGCCCCGAGGATGAGATTACAGCATGTGCCACTATCCCCAGCTGCAGTGTTACGGAAGATGCACAACACTTACAGACACATATTCAGGGATAGAAAGCTGGTCTTCAGGAAAGGATTTTAGCTTCACATACTGCTCTTCCGTCGGCTCCAAGTCACGCAGGTTTCGACGGACATCTCCAGCTTTCTCTCTTAGCTGATGATTTGTCTCTTCCAGTTGTTTCTGTCTCAATAAAATGGTTTCCATTTCTTGTTTCATTAGTTCTTGATATTTCCTACATTGAGAGAATTTATGCCAAGTTTTAAAATTACTGAGATTTTTCTCAGTGTTCCATATAGTACTCTTGGCTATCATTAGTGTTGATTTATCTAATTAGTTAATCTTGAAGTGACACATTCATATATATCAGTAAATGTATCAGCCCAAAAAATATTGAAACCAACACTCTTAAGTTGTAACCAAAAATTCAAATTACAAATAAACATTTAATCTGCTACAGTCTTAAACCCTTACATATCAGCTTTGGACTCTAGCTACTACTTTTAATTTTTCTTTAATCCTGTACTGCAGGACATATCTCTTTAATACAGTAACACTGAACCCCATAAGGTATTCATTCAACCACTGACACATCCTAGCAGCGCAGAGGCCAGAAGCTGATGTCAGAATGTCTTACTTAGCTGTTTTTCACCTTTTTAGTGGAGGCCCACAGAAGTGGATCCGTTCTCAAAGTCACAGAGTTCAGACCTATTCTTGCTCCTTCGAGGTTACACAACAGAATGTGTGCCTAAGGTGTGGTTACTCGGTGTATTGTCTAGACAAGATGACTGACCAAAGGTGTGGCTACTGGGTGACTCTTCAAAGGTCGGTCAACAGGACATTTTGACTTAGGGTGTGGTTACTTGATGTTTTGGGTGTTAAGGTAATTATGTTTGTTTGTTCTTTGCAGCCTGGTAAGAAAGTCTTTTGTATTGCCCCCCCCCCACTTTAATTGGAGTATATAAGAACTTTGAGTAGTAAACTTGGGGCTGATCACGGTATCCGCTGGATGCCCTCCTGACTCTATCTTGGGTTTCTCGTCTATTTCTCTCCTTAATCCTCACTCCTCTTTTCAAGCACTGATGGACAGGTCTGCTGGACCGGACACTTTTTAAAAACAGGAGCATACACTGAATCTAGAGGTCACCATGACTGGACCGGCTGGCCAGGGAGCTCCTGGGATCTGCTTACCTCCACCCTTGCTGTTCTGAGACTCTGGGAATATACCACCAGTCTCAGCATTTACTGGGATTTCAAACTCAGGTCTTCCAGCAAACATTTTACCTCTGAGTCATATCCCTAGCCTAGAGAGGAGACCATAAAAAACACCGACAGAAATCTGAGAAGATGGTGTTCATTCATGTTTTTGCTTTGTCTTTAAACCTATCTTGCCTCTGTTGACTTGTTATTATTGATTTATTTGTTTATTTTCAGACAATTCTTGCTATGTAGCTCTAGTTGGCTAGAACTCATTCTACCAGACTTGGCTCATAGAGACTTGCCTGCCTTTGCCTTTCAAGTGCTAGGATTGAAGGAATGAGCTACCATACCTTTATTTTTTATGTATACAGAAGCTTTGACTGTCTGTATGCCTGCAGACCAGAAGAGTGCATTAGATTGTGAGCTACTCTGTGGATGCTGGGAACTGAACTCAGGACCTCTGGAAGAGCAGTCAGTACTCTTAACTGCTGAACCATTTTTCCAACCCTTGCCATTCATTTTTATTGAGTTGTTTCCAATTAATTTCTTTTGGTTTTTATAGAAACAATGCACATTTTTCTACTAAAATGTCATTGTTTATATCACTTTAAATTAAATTACATAGGTATAATTGGCATAGGTACATGAGAGTAAACAATGAATACTTTGTTTCTTTGCCTGTTCATTGAGACAAGGTCTCAACTAGCCAGGGTTGGCCTTCAACTCACTAGCCAAGGATGACCTTGAACTCCGTTGTTTTTTTTTATTGTTGTTGTTGCCTTGTTGCTATTGTTGTTTTGTTTTTCCAGACATGGCACCCTTGTGCAACTCTGGTGTTGTAGTAAGAGCAGCGGGCTGCTTCCTGCCACCTAGCTAGCTTTATACCTGAAATAATTACACAGAAACTGTATTCTTTTAAACACTGCCTGGCCCATTAGTTCCAGCCTCTTATTGGCTAGCTCTTACATATTGATCTAACCCATTTCTAATAATCTGTGTAGCCCACTAGGTGGCTTACCAGGGAAGATCTTAACCTGCGTCTGTCTGGAGTGGGAGAATCATGGAGACTCACTGACTCAGCTTTCTTTCTCCCAGCATTCTGTTCTGTTTACTCCACCCACCTAAGGGTTGGCCTATCAAATGGGCCTAGGCAGTTTCTTTATTAATTAACCAATGAAAGCAACAGATCAGAAAGAAATTACTCCCACACTCTGGATGTCTGTAGACCAGGCTGATCTCAGACTCAAGAGATTAGCCTGCCTCTGCCTCCCAAGTACTGGGATTAAAGGTGTGAGCCACCATGGTCAGACATCTTTAACTCTTAATCATCCTTCTACCATCTCCCAAGTGCTGGGAGTAAAAGTGTGTGCCACTCCACCAGGCTCAGTTCACTCTTGGTAGGTACGTATCCACTTCGAGAAAATACACAGGCATAGTAATTGTCTCCTAAGACAGCAAATCTGGACAGCTGTGACAACACAGAATGGTTTATAGAGTGAATGAAGAAAAAGGTCAGCTAGATACCAATTGTGGGCAATCCAGAGAGCTCCTCATGTAATGTATGGGTTACTTACAAGGCCAGTATTTGTTGAATAAATGTTGAATGTTAACTGTGCATTTGTATACTGTCATAAAGCAACCTGGCCTTTGGTGGTCTGGATGTTAGGATAATAAGCATATCTAACTTAAAATTTCTCTATTATAGCCTATAACAACATGCATAAACAAGAATAAAATTACTTTTAGTTTGAAAATAAATGTTAGGGTTTTGTGAAAAACATATCTTACTTGGCATCCTTCTGTTGAATAGTCAACTGATTGTCTAATCTCAAAGTTAGCAGCTGCTTCTGGTGAAGGGCATCATTAAGTTTTTCCTCCAACTCTTCAATCTGAACAGAGAGAACACAGTTTCCACAGTCAGCTTTCAGTGAACATAACAACAAACACTTAAAAGAAACAGAGGGGGCTGGAGAGATGGCTCAGTGGTTAAGAGCATTGCCTGCTCTTCCAAAGGTCCTGAGTTCAATTCCCAGCAACCACATGGTGGCTCACAACCATCTGTAATGAGGTCTGGTGCTCTCTTCTGACCTGCAGACACACACACAGACAGAATATTGTATACATAATAAATAAATAAATAAATATTTAAAAAAAAAAGAAACAGAGGAAGAATCTTTAAAGATCTGGGTTGAAACTACTGTCTTGTAAATGTTCATGCTAGGCTATCTTGAGATGGCTTTCCCTTAATTCACATGCAAAGCTCACTCAGATGGGAGCTTCATGTAAGCCTCTGCTCATATGGTTAAGTTATTAGTCTGAGCACTGCACATCTTCATCTGCTGCCAAATGGCTGGCTTCAGAAACACCCAAGACAAAATGAGTAACCCCTAACCAAATCACTCACTAGCCCTGTAGCTTCTGATTTGAAAAGAAAACAAGTTTCTCATGACATGCTTGCCTGGACCACTTTAGGTTCTTCACTAATTTCCTTTCCTGGTCAGAAACCTTCATATCTCCTTTTAGCTTACCTTTAAAATGTGCTAACAAATGTCCACCAGTTTTAAGTAACCATCTTCGCAAAAACTTCTACACTGTAGCAGAGGACACTTAGAGACCTTTGGCCAACAACTTGCTTTGTGACTAACCGAAGAAGACTCCTACTGTAAACCCCTACATACTTGGTCCTGTGCCTGTCTATTCATTCCTTTTCCCTTCCTTTCCTTCTTTCTCCTTTAAAATAGATAACTCTAACTGCATCTTCTGCCTTTTCTAGAGAGGCACTGTTTAGAAAGTGCTCTAGCTTCCTCATGGGCAGGACACCTGTGCAGCAGGTGAAGCTCTGGGTTTGATCCTTAGCACCTCAAAAATAGATAAATATTAAAAATTTAAATCAATCTTGTATTGTAGACGGAGACTGTTCATTTGTTACTGGCTACCCAGACCCAAAATAATTACACACAGGAACTATATTAATTGCAATACTGTTTGGCCAATAGCTTAAATGTGTTTCTAGCTAGCTCTTACATCTTAAATTAACCCATTTCTATTGTTTTATATTTTACCATGAAGCTAGTGGTTTACTGGTACGGAAGTCTTTCTCCTCCTGTGGAGACATGGTTTCTCCCTACTCTCTCTTCCTTTATCTGCTTGGAATTCCCACCTTGTCCTATTCTGTCCTAGAATTGGCCAAAAGCAGCTTCTTTATTAACCAATAGTATTCTCAGCATACAGATGTGAATCCCATATCATTATATTTTATGATTTACTTGATTTTGATGTGTGTGAATGTTTTGCCAATGTGTATGTTTGTGTACCATGTTTGTGTCTGGTTCCTCACTAGCCAGAAAACATTACTGGGTCCCCTGGAACTGTGGGCTCGGGAATTTGAACCCAGGTCATTTGTAAGAGTAGTAAGCGCTGCTAACTGCTTAGTCATCCCTGCAGCCCTTCCTTTGTACTCTAAGCTGTGTGTATGTGTGTGAGGGTGCAGGGCAACTTTCAGGAGCTAGTTCTCTCTTCACTATGCAGACCACAGATGGAACTCAGGTCCCGAAGCTTGCATGGTTAAGTATCTTTACCCAGCAATCATCTCATTGGCCCAAAGTAAATATATTTTTCTAGCAGGTCACTGTAGTAGCTTAGTATACATACCACAGAACTAAAATAGGAGAGCAAGATAACAAGACACAGTATAAATGAAACAAAAATACACTTTTGGATGGAGGGACTAAAGCTGGAACAGCTGAGAACAACAGTAAGGTTAGTTCACTGTCAGGAGGAAATCGTTTTCCTAGGAACAGAAGTAGCAATACCAACGCAATGTGTCTCGCAATCACTCACTATTTATTATGGCTAATGGTGTAGGAGGTCTTTTTTTCTATGTATGGTTTGTATTGGTTAATGCTTTGGCTTTGATAGGGCAGAACTTGGGTAGGTGGGGAAAATTAAATGGAATGCTGGGAGGAAGAAGGCAGAGTCAGAGAGCCACCATGGCGCTGCCAGAGTCAGACATGCTGAATCTTTCCCGGTAAGACACTGGCACGTGTTGATATACAGATTAATAGAAATGGGTTAAATTGGGATGTAAGAATTAGCCAATAAACTGGGCGGTGGTGGCACACGCCTTTAATCCCAGCACTCCGGAGGCAGAGGCAGGCGGATCTCTGTGAGTTCGAGGCCAGCCTGGTCTACAAGAGCTAGTTCCGGGACAGGAACCAAAAAGCTACGGAGAAACCCTGTCTCGAAAATCCAAAAAAAAAAAAAAAAAACAACAACAAAAAAAACCCACCTGATTTTCAATATGCAAAGTATAAAAAGGTAGTACTGGAAAAGCAATGTCATGTATACTATTTACAGTCTGACATATCCCTTTCTTTCTTTCTTCTTTTTTTTTTTCTTTTTTTGGAGGCAGGGTTTCTTTACATAGCCCTGGCTGTCCTGAACTTCACTATGTAAATTAGGCTACCCTAGAACTCACAGAGATCTGCCTCCAGAGTGCTGGGATTAAAGGCGTAAGCTACCCCAACTGGCCTACATACCAGCTTCTTAATTATCTTGTTTAAATACAACAAGGTAGGAAAATCAACAAAGTTTGCATCTGTTCTTACCTTTGTAAGATAATCCATTTTCAAATTGTCGATCATCATATTTTTTTGGGATAGCTCGATTTTCAGTAGCTGAATATTATGAAGCATTTCTTTTCTTTCAATTAATTGCCTGGTGATTTTGACTTTACCCTCTCGCTCTTCTGATGAGGAAATGTCATCTGTATGAATGGTTGTTTCCAAACTAATATCTTCAGACTCCAGAGAACTAGAAATGTTTACTTTTTTTGACTCCTTGGGCATTTTTCGAGACATTTTATTATTCTGGATCAATCTTCTGTAGAGTAAAAGGAAATAAACTTAAATATACCGAAAATTGACTACATAACATATAGTGCATTGATGAGTTACTAAAGATTGCTGAGATCACTGGGCACTGGAAGATGCCAAATCTAAGCCCGATCACTACTATGAATTAGTGCTCAAATCAAAGTTAGATTCACTAAATCCTATCATGAACTCAGCCCTTTGGTCAATTTAAATAAATATGTGCATATATATATATATATACATATATACATACATATATATGTATGAATGTGCCTGTGTATATACATTCAGACACACACATAAACTTGGGGCAATAATCTTTGTTTGTTTGCTTTTGTTTTTTGAGACAGGGTGTGTAGCCCTGGGATGTCCTAGAACTCACAGAGATCTGTCTGCCTCTGCCTCCTGCTGGGATTAAAGGTGTGCACCACCATGCCTACAAAGCAAGAATCTTAATTTGAAGGAAAAAGAAAAATAAAGTCGTGTAAAAGAGAAAGGGTAAAGCCCATTCATACCAAGAACTCCAAGCTCCAGGAGAGAATGACTCTGATTTTGTCCGTGTAAGTTTGTACAGAAGCAGTTAAATCTGGAAGGATCTGTGAACACATGGGACAAGATTTGGACGGAGAAAGAGGATATATAAAACAAGAGCGGAGTCGACATCAGACTGTCTGGGGATACACATGAGGTTTATTTAACAAGCAAGAAATCACTGGAAGTCTGAAGACAAGCTCACATCGAGACAATAACATTTCTAAATAACTTGGAAAAACAGAGGAAAAATTCGAATATTCTAAATAGCACATCTTAGCCTTCCGAAGAATTTTTACTAACTCCTTTGTTTAAATAGTACACGATTTGGTAAAATGTCCATAGAATTAGACATTTCAGTTCTTCTAAAAGGAACGGTGAGGAAGGAGGTGTGCGTGGTGGGGGACAGGAAGAGCTACAGTACGATCCACCTCTTTCCTTTTTAAAGGAAGGCGTGAAGAAAGGTGTAGCCAAAGAGAAATCCTCGCCCGAGTTACAAAGGACCAGGGACGGGCTTCTCCTTCTTTGGCTAAGAAATTTATAAATTCTAAACTTGATGCATTTTAGCATCTTTGTAGCACGCGTGAAAGATAGGGAGACAGATTCCTGGAAGCTACCTCTCCAGCGTCAGTAACTCCGCATACAAGGCTAAAACCAGCCTCACCTCGGACACTTGGAGGAACCACGGGCGTCTTCAGGGCTGCAAACCCTCTACAAGTATCTCGGGGTCACCAGACCGTTAGGGAGCAGTCACCAAGACAACCACCCGCCCAGTCAGAGCAGAAGTCGGAAGAAGCAAGGGCGCGTAGGTGCCTAGGCCCTCCCTTCCCGGAAGCCAGTTCGAAGCGGTGCACTTTGGGAGTGGTAGTCCGGAGACGAACCCCGCCCAGCTGCGGGCGGAAATATATACCGTGGCCCAATCGCCTCGATAATCAAGGGACTAACACGACCACTCAGGCGTGGCGTGTTTTCTCGCGAGACGTGCGTATTAGCAGCTCGCGGGAAGAGGAGGAAATGCGAGGGGCGGCTTGCTAAGGCGCCTCCGCTTTTGACCTGACGTGTCTTCGGCCAGAGTTCTGTAGCGGTCGGGATTCCGCCCGGGTCCGGATTCTACGCCGGGAGCCAAGATGCTCAAGTCCAAAACGTTCTTAAAAAAGACCCGCGCGGGCGGCGTGGTGAAGATCGTGCGCGAGCACTACCTGCGGGATGACATCGGCTGCGGGGCCCCGGCCTGCGCGGCCTGCGACGGGGCGCATGCGGCCCCGGCCCTGGAGTCGCAGCCCGGCGACCAGGCGAGCAGCCTCTGCCCGTGGCCGCACTACCTCCTGCCGGACACCAACGTGCTGCTGCACCAGGTGCGTGGGCCGGCGGGCCGCGTGGTGACAAGGGGGCGTGGCAGATAGGGAAACCGAGGGTGGCGGGTCTCGGGGTGCAAAGGCAGGTACCAAGGCCACCCTCGCTTCCAGTTGTCCAGGCCGAGGTACATTTCTCTAACGTTGTTGTTTTATTTATTTACATGTTTTTTTTTTCGGTTCTTGGAGTCGTAGTTTTCGACACGTTAATTTTCTAACTCCTGGTGTCTCTTCTACTTTAGATTATAAGTGCCTGGAAGCCGGGGACCTGGGCTTCTGTGGCCTCGAGATTGCGACCCCCAGGCAGCTTGTAAGTGCCTACGAACAAAAACTGTGTGGGCCAGCAGATTTATTCGTTAATAGTTTTAATACTGCAAACTTTTGTGGTCCGTTTGCGGGTGCTCTTCTCAAGCCTGCAGGGCCGAGTTATCACTTGTTCTACAGCAAAGTGACACTTTGGCCCAACGGAGAGCTGGTGTATGAAACTGTCAAGATTTTAGGCTTGACAGAAACAGTTTCTACGTGAACATGGGGAAAATTAACTTTTTGCTTTTGTCTTTAAGATTGATGTTCTGGAAGACCCAGCTATCAGGAATGTCATTGTGCTCCAGACAGTCCTGCAGGAAGTGAGAAACCGGAGTGCCCCCATCTATAAGCGGATCAGGGATGTGACGAATAACCGGGAGAAGCATTTTTACACATTCACTAACGAGCACCATAAGTAAGTCTCACAAGACCGTAGGCTTACCGAAAGTTATAAGAAAGTGCCTGGGCGCTGGGGAGGCAGAGGCAGGCGGATCTCTGTGAGTTCGAGGCCAGCCTGGTCTACAAAAGCTAGTTTCAGGATAGGCTCCAAAGCTAGAGAGAAATCACGTCTTGAAAAAAACAAAACAAACAAACAAACCAAGAAAGTGCCTGGGAATTCATTTGTCAAAGCTGATCTGTAGTTCCGTGTGCTGTTGGGTTGTTCTTGGCTGTGTGGTGCCTGGGAATTCATTTGTCAAAGCTGATCTGTAGTTCCGTGTGCTGTTGGGTTGTTCTTGGCTGTGTGGTGCCTGGGAATTCATTTGTCAAAGCTGATCTGTAGTTCCGTGTGCTGTTGGGTTGTTCTTGGCTGTGTGGTGCCTGGGAATTCATTTGACAAAGCTGATCTGTAGTTCCGTGTGCTGTTGGGTTGTTCTTGGCTGTGTGGTGCCTGGGAATTCATTTGACAAAGCTGATCTGTAGTTCCGTGTGCTGTTGGGTTGTTCTTGGCTGTGTGGAAGACGCTGCTAAGTGGGACTCAGATAAGGTCACAGTGTTAGTGGGCTCCCACCTTAAACTGGATCTACTAGCTATCACAGTACTTATGTCAGAATCCTCGTGTAAGTTGTGTATATTGAGCTGAATGATGGCTCTTTGGAGATGAGATGAGATCATTTGGGCTCCTGCCATGCCGTGTATATAAATAGCATACAGCTGGCACAAAATGAGTGAGTCTGCAAAAAAGATTTTTAAAAATGAACGTATGATTAATAAGCTTTAAAATTGCCGGGCAGTGGTGGCGCGCGCCTTTAATCCCAGCACTCGGGAGGCAGAGGCAGGTGGATCTCTGTGCGTTCCAGGCCAGCCAGGTCTAGAAAAGCTAGTTCCAGGACAGGAACCAAAAGCTATGGAGAAACCCTGTCTCGAAAATCCAAAAAAAAAAAAATAAAAAAATAAGCTTTAAAATTTAAACTAATATCTTAGAGCTGATTTATTAAATTTGGATTTCAAAAAGCAGTCCTTTATTATAATTTAGGTTCATGACTTTTGAATTAAATGGGTGCTTTCAGAACATATGGGATTTCCCATTATCACAGATAGTGTACAGTGGTTATCTATGACACTTAAAGTCACTTTCTCGACCTTGACATTATTGACATTGTGGACTAAGTAGTTTTTTGTTGTATGAAATCTATCTTACAGGTTGGAGGTGCTTAGCAGCATGTTTGGCCTATGCCATGTGTATACAAGTAGTGCCAAGTTTAATCATCCACATGTTTTCGTACCTTGTCAGATGTAGCTCTTTCTTGTATCTTGAAACTAAGTATTGCTTAAACACGCACGTGCACGCATGCACACCCATATACACAGAATAAAAGTGTCTGTGGGCTGCTCAGTCATTGCATCGCCTTAGACTCCATAGACAGAACCACTTGTTTCCTGGAACCAGACTGAGGTTGTATGGAACATGTTCATCAGATTCCTAATGGAGGCTTAGCAAGATTTCTTAGTTCAAGTGCTTTGAGTAGGACTTAGCAATATTGGAAGACTTTTAGGACACTAAGCAAATCTCATATGGATTTTGTTTCTTAAGTCTGTCACATTAAAACCAAATTCAAACTTAATGACCATTGCATTTACTGATAAGCTTAGATTTATCAGATTTGTAACTAGAGGAGCCCTGTGCACCAGAATGTTACATATGTGGCCCAACGCATTTGTAGATTCACAAAATTATGTTGCAGCGTCAAAAGGTTGGACGCACTGTGGAAGCATTAGTAATACAGTTAATGGTAGGGAGTAAAGTAGTGCTGAGAAGATGGCTTTGAAGAGCATACCTGAAGAAATATGAAAGTGAACTCTCATATTTGAGAGCCGTGGCCTTGTGCGGTCTACCTAGGCTTTGCTATGGATTTAGTGTTTACCACGAATGATCAAAAGGATCATGTAGTGAATGGCCATTGAAACACATGATCACACAGTGATCTACAGTCACTGTAGAGCCTAGCAGTTGACTGGTAATCTGTGGTTTGTTGAGTAAAGTTTTATTATCTGGTCTCCAAAGTTCTATTAATCCCTCTTACCCAGTGAACTATTAACGTCCCTGCTGGGGAATACTATTTTAAAGTGTGTGACTTTTGTTTATGTTGCATTTGTTTAACTCTGTGAAGCTGTGATTTGCTTGTCTAAAACACCTGATGGTCCTAATAAAGAGCTGAACGACCAATAAAGACAGGAGCAAGGATAGGCAGGGTTAGCAGGCAGAGAGTTTAAATAGAAGGAGAAATGAGGACGAAGAGCAAGTGGACAAGGAGAGGAGGCCATCAGGGGTCAGCCACCCAGCTACACAGCCAGACACGGAATAAGAAGAAAAGGAAGGGATACAGGAATAGAAAAAGATAAAAGTCCTGAAGCCAAAGATAGATAGGATAATTTAAGTAAGAAAAGCTAGCAAGAAATAAGCCAAAAGGTCAGGCATTCATAAGTAATAATAAACCCCTGTGTATTTATTTGGGACCTGTGTGGTGGGTCCCCCCCACAAAAAGTAAAACATCACACAACATTTACACAGCACATCTCCATTTGAAGTCTAAATTCCTTTTTTTTTTTTTTGGTTTTTTGAGACAGGGTTTCTCTGTGGTTTTGGAGCCTGTCCTGGAACTACCTCTGTAGACCAGGCTGGTCTCAAACTCACAGAGATCTGCCTGCCTCTGCCTCCCGAGTGCTGGGATTAAAGGCGTGTGCCACCATCGCCCAGCTTCTAATTTTCTTTTTATGAAATCAAACTATTTGAACCTCTGTATTTTCCAACTAATAGCATAAATTTCATCAAGAGAATTGTCTTGAAAACTTCAAAGGATCTTAACAGAATTTTTCTGACCATATAAATTTCAACCAAATATGTATACCACTGGCTTTTTAGCTGCTGTCAAACATTTATGTCTCAGAAGTTTTTACACATTTTTGTTTTTGCTAGTTAACTTTTATTTCATGGTTTGCCTCTTCACATTTAGAGAAACCTACATTGAACAAGAACAGGGAGAAAATGCTAATGACAGAAATGACAGAGCCATTCGAGTAGCGGCAAAATGGTACAACGAACATTTGAAGAAAATATCAGCAGAAAACCAGCTGCAAGTTATCCTTATCACAAATGACAAGAAAAACAAAGAAAAAGCTGTAGAAGAAGGAATCCCAGCTTTCACGTGTAGGTCTGAATGTAAACACTTCTATGCATATTTGCAACTGTATATAAAAATTAGTATTGGGCCATATGTTCACATGACTCAGAATATCATTTTCCTGTATAATTGAATATTATCTTTAAATGTTTTTCAATTTTTAATATGTGAATCTTTTGCCTGCATGTATGTATGTGCATTATGTACATTAGGGATGGTTATTAGCCACTGTATTGGTGCTGGAAACTGAAACCAGGGCCTTTGCAAGGACAGCAGGGGTTTTTAATTGCTGGACCATCTTTCCTTTTACATTTTATTTTTTTTTAATATTTTTTATGGTTTATTTAACTTTATTTTATGTGCATTGGTGTGAAAGTGTCAGATCCCCTGCAACTGGATCTTCAGACAGTTGTGAGCTGCCATATGGGTGCTGGGAATTGAACTGGAAGAGCAGTTAGTACTCTTAACCGCTGAGCCATCTCTCCAGCCCCCCATTTTATTTTTATTT